CGAGAACGGCGGGACCGATTACGCTAATTTTGGTCTTGAATTATTTGTGGAAGTCCAGAGAAGGTTTAAAAGGTAGATAAATATGAAAAATTAAATTATTATTAAATGAAAATAACGATTTTGTTTTTCCTTTGATATGTCCCCCGTCGGACGGATTCCTTTTGTTTGTTTTAAGTTTATTTTATACGAAAGTTTAGGTCTTTTATTTATCGATTGAGGCACTACGAAGTCTGCCGGGTCAGCTAATCGTAAATATAATTTAAATTCATTTTTTTAAACGTAACACTTTATACCCACCGTAATCGTTCAGAGCGTTATTATAAATAAAAATGAACCAGTTGTTTGAACAGACCGAGTTGTTCCGTTGTAATCTAATCCTCCGGGAGAACGAGCGGTTGACATTATATCAATTTCATCATATTTACTGACCGTCCAACGATTCTACAAGCAAGGATTTATTCGTAGCTGTATGGCACACAAAATAAACTCTGAAGTAAATAAAACGTCTCGTTCGAAATACGAAATGTTTCTCTCGGTCTCTAATTTTCCCTTTGCAAAAACGGCCTTTGGACTGGAAAGTTAAACATGGCGACGGTTTGTAACGGTCAGCAAAGAAACTGTTTTACGGTTGACATGCTGAAATGTAAATTAGTTTGCCAAATGACTTGTTTATGTTATTAAGAATTTATTTTCGGTTACTTCGAAGGTTTCGTTAATTAATACATTAGAATAATGGTAGGTAGGTGATATTATAATATAACCACTAAACTACTTTTAAACGGTTTATGGTTCCGTAGTATGAAAACATAAAGAGGTATTCTCTGGCAGCCCTTCATAACAGATGTTTCCTATCATAATTAAACTTTGACTTTCATCCAATTATTTTACCTCAATCTCATTTCTATCGCAGAACATTTGTTACTGACTTTATACCTAAATATTACTACTCTTAACATATAATGCTCACTGAACCAATTGACCTTAATTCAATTCTTTAAACGCTGTGGTGAGTTATCCGATTGAAATAGCTTAATGTTTATGGGAAAACTGGTCACTGCCAATCTTATGGAATACTAGTCGTAATTGTCCGCTTCGCTGGGAATTTAAAATTATAAAAACATTATTATTTGGGAGTGCAACACTCACATAAATATTAGTCTATCCATTAAGTACATGTATTTTCTACACGGATACCAAGTTTCAAGTCAATCGGATGCATGGTTCAGTAGTTTTAACGGAACATCCGTAAAAACCACTGTAGATTTATATATTAGTATAGATATAGATTTAAAGAGTCGCAGTACGTGGAGAGCCAATCTCCCTCTGTAACATGCAGAGGAAATTTATTATTGTCAATAGCTCGGTATACGATCGTTCGTCTAATACGAAGCAGATGAAGTCTCAGAAATTGCATTTGGCTCCAAACCCTGCTTTTGATGCTATCGCAATAGTTCGGTTGTCTTTACTCTATTAAAATATCATAAGAATATTTACCTAACAAATATTGGCTAAATTCAAATATAATGTTGTTTTTCTATCAATTTTAAGAAAATCAATGACCAGTTTGTGTATCTGCACATAATATTATACATATAACCTTTCAAAGAATAATATTTTTAAACTAGTGAAAATTGTCATACTTAAATGGCGGTATAGTAATTAGTACACAATCTTTAAAAATACTAATGAATTCGTTACTTACTGTAAACACAGAACGAAATTTGTTAACCAACGTCAAAGTGTTTTTAATAGATGTACATTAATATTTCAATCTGAAATATAAACATTTAAAGTTAATGTATGTTTTAAGTGCCAGTAATTAAAATATTTAGAGTCGTTACGACGCGTTTGCGTCCGATATGAGTTATACATTTTTTTTAATTTTTTTATTGGAGTTTACTCCTTTAGAATCGATTTACATATATAGGCCCGGGGTATGAAAATTATGGGGACCAAAATCGTACTAGCATGTCACACGAAATGCGTTATGCGCCTGCGCCGGCAGTCCGCCACAAAGCCTCGTACTGATCGCGCGTTTCTCTCATTATTGTATTTTCATATATTTGTTAGTCGTTTGTTTTGTNACTGATCGCGCGTTTCTCTCATTATTGTATTTTCATATATTTGTTAGTCGTTTGTTTTGTGTCTCGTTAATTTGTTAATAATCTGTAGTGTATCGTGTTGTCGTAATATAGAACTATTTCTCGTATTGTTTCGTTTAATTTTTTATATCCAGTAAACTCCAGTCGTGCGTCGGAGCGGACACACACACTTTTTTTTTATTGCTTTGATAGTTGGACGAGCTCATAGCTCACCTGGTGTTAAGTGGTTACTGGAGCCCTTAGACATTTACAACGCAAATACGCCACCCACCTTGAGATATAAGTTCTTAGGTCTCAGTATAGTTACAACGGCTGCCCCACCCTTCAAGCCGAACGCATTACTGCTTCACGGCAGAAATAGGCGGGGTGGTGGTGGTACCTACCTGTGCGGACTCACATGAGGTCCTACCACCAGTAAAATGGGTTGAGCAACGCGGTAATGCGAATATGGTGCACGAAATATAAAATCTATACCTAATTTTTTTTATGCCGGCCGCATGTTTAAAGAACTTGTTTTAAAACATTATGTTGTTCTTTTCACTTTGAAATCTCACGGAATAGAGTACGAAAGAGATAACTATAGTTCAGTCTGTAAATACCTAAATAGAAATGTCGAAATCGATGTATGTATCGTGTTTTTTTTTCCCCTGTTTTTTCTGGTAACCTCGAGGGGTTATGCCAGCGTAACCGGGCGAGTAGGTGAGCTCACGGGGCTCTAACTTGGTAACGTTGCTAACACTAGCCCTAGTTAAGAGCAGTGCTTCGCGGAATCTACCACCGGATCGGAAACGCGATCTACTGAGAAGATCCGGCGAGAAACTCGATGGGCGGTGTCTGAGGGTTTGTTTTCTTTTCAACACTTCGTAAAACTACTTTTTATCTTCTCACAACAACGCAATTGTTTGAAAAGTAAAAAAAAAGAAAGCAGCCCGTAATCATTTCGTCCATGTTACACAATGTCCTGTCATGTTTTTTTATGAAATTACATATTTCGTGAACTATTCTCGGAACATTAAGTTATTTTAGACATAATTTTGATCTTCATTAAATTGGCACCTAAATTCTGATCCTGAATCTAATAAAAATTTAAGTCGACAATGTAGAAGTTCGTTTCGTCTTCACCATTAATAAGTAGTATAGTCATTCATAGTTTTATGATTACTTGATATTTAATATATCATTTGCGGATCTAATTTTAGACGCGGCTTTTAAGACGACGTAGAGAACACAGTGTTGAAATGGGAAGCAATAAATGTCAGTAACCTATTCAGCTAGTTGCAGGCCTAAGGAAAACAGACATGAAACATCCACTTACTGTCGGCCAATTAAGGGGATATTACAGTTCCCTGCCCTTAATTAGGCTAATACAGGACGAAGACGATCTATCGGCTCTCAGTGTTCCTCTTTTAGAGTTAATTTTCTTTCTTCGCTTCGAAGATTGACGGTGACGCGACAGACTAGAATCAAAATAAAAAAAAATATATATATGCAAATAATCATGAACTGTAGGATTTTTGTGCATTCATTCTTAATGTAAACTAATCGTTAAATGCTAATGATTTAAGACGACACTAAGTTGCGACAAATTTACCAAAGAACGACTAACATAATTTTTAGTTACTTTACATTGTTAATGCATTTTATTGAATGACGTGTAATACAATCCTTAATACGTTTCTTCATTGCTTTAACCTCGTGCCTCTATAGAAAAAATAAATATTTCTAGGACACGACGAATAAAAAAAAATTAGGATTGTCTAGTTTTACATAATACTTCTGTTATATTTTAGTACACAATGAATATTCCAATACGACTATAACTGATTTTTCCGGAAATCCGTACTGTTAAATTATTTTTGTGCTTGTTTGAAATAAAATGTTTATTTTTGCCGTTTGAAGGTCTGCCTACGTAACGTTTTCCGCGTTATGATCGTAACCATAACAGCATATTATGCAGAATAATAGCGAACGTGTCTTGCAATAGTCCATCATGATTTATTTATATTAACCTCGATAATGAGACAATTGTTTCTGAGAATTTTAGTCGTGGGCTTGGGTTGATGATTTCTCATATAAATTTATCCGCTCATTTTTTGTCATACAAACTAATCTACAAAGGTAAAATTTTATTTTAATGCACACAAAATAATTTAATTAAATATTTTATAAAAGTACTTAACTAGTTTATATTTTTCAAGAATATCTTTTTATATATTTACAATTGACACAAAACAGTATATATATTATGTACTATGCCATTTCGTGATCGACCACAACCGTATTGTCGAGCAACACCTGACTGATAGATGGTATTTATTCGAAATAAGTCATTATTTATGCTCGCCAATCTCCGCAATGGCCAATTTGGATGTGGTTTCATTCGTAAATATTGAGTTAAGCTTCAACTGTTATTCTTTATCATACAAATTTACGTGATTTAACTAATAACTTAAAGGACATAGAAACAGTGTCGCAGGCAAAACTCGATTTAATTACACTAGACGATGATCGAGCTTTGCTCGTTTTTTTTTTATAAGTTGTATTTTTCGAGTGGTTTAACAACACCTTCTGTTGAAATAGCTTTAGTGTTATTGTGTCTTTAAAGCAGTTAGTCGCTCCCAATTATAAAAAAAATAGTATTGTTATTCGCCAATAGATGTCGGGAAGAGTCATAAGGTTGATTATCGATAAAGTCGATTTTTGAAAACACGATTAAAACAACATTTTCTGAAAATAAATTGTAGCTAGATCGATTTACCGCCCCCGAAATCCCTTGTATACTAAATTTTATAAAAATCGTTGGAGCCAAGAATTGCTCGTTTAAAGGTATAAGATAAGATATAAGTAGGACAACGTGTATTTTACTTGAATTTATTAGAATATCTATTTATTTCACAGACTCGTCATTTCAACCGTTCTTCGGATACGTCGATATGAGGGCTCTGCTCGAAAACTTTTGCGTGTACCATGTCAACGCTCCAGGCCAAGAGGAAGGCGCCCCGAGCTTGCCGGAAGAGTGAGTAGTTAGATTTTTTCAAGAATAAGGTTCGTGTTAGGTTTTTTTGTACGGCATAATTTTTAATGTATTTCTCAAGTTTAACATAAATTTATTCGTGTAATATAACTATGTATTTTGTTTTAAAATTTTAATTTAAAATTTACAATAAAATATTAACAAAAAAATATCCTATCATATTTAGTTAGAGACGGCAAACATAGCCCCGATCAAGATGACTTCGCTGGTTTCCAATCCGATGTCAATAGTGATTTTTCGGCAAATTTCATTTGACCTTACCACGCCTTCAGTGAAGATAGGCTTGTGTTTGTTGTACTATGCAGGCGTTTTCAGGCAAACAATTGCGTAATCAATTTAGAATTCGATCCTCAGGAACTACAACATCACGATGTTAATTTGTGAAAATCTACAATGAAAATAAAAGGTTTGTCCTCTATCAGGACGGTAGCAACGCACGTTTTTCACATCAATATTGATCGAGAAATAAAATAAAAATTGGCTTATGGTATTTGGAAATACGCTTCAACATCAATTTGATAATCCTAACGATAAAATACTAATTCACTGTTCGTGAGTTTTGTCAATTGTAGAAATTTGTTTGTTAGTTGTTTTTTTTTCTACATTAAAATATTGAATATTTCAAAGTAAGCACATCGATGTTTCACATTATACATTTGCTGTTAGTATAAAATATGAACCCTAAATTCCAATCAAAAGCTAGTGCAGTTAAATGACAACCATTCCCGTTTAGTTTCAGTCAAAACCACTCGGGATTCAGACAGGCCAGTCATAACGCAGGCGGTTTTGGTTTAATCCGTTGGACTAGCGTGTACGTGAGTGACAGGCGCATGACAGTACATATGTCTGTCTTGTTTGCAATTGTGTAGTCGGAAACGCAACGACAAACCCAAGGGGATGCGATGTGAGGCGTAATCAAATAGGTTATTTTAGGATAGTAATCAAGTGATGATCACTAGCCTTGTTGATTTTCAAATTATATGTATCGCTTTTCAGTTCTAAACTTAAACTGACATTGACTGAACATGGAACTTCTTCTTTCTCCTTCTTCTCCACCTTATCCCACTAAGTGGAGTCGGCACAGCTAATTTTTCTCTTCCATTCTCTTCTCTATCAGCCGTCATCTCAACATTCACTCCTCTCTCTCTCTCTCTCTCCCTCATATCTCCCTTTGTCATTCATACACTCCATCCATGTCTGCTTCGGTCGACCTCTTCTCCCTCTAACTTGCACTACCATTTCCATACATCTAGTCACATGCATCTTCTCTCTACGCATCATATGTTCATACCACTTGACTGAACATGGAAAGTTATTTAAAATTAAAACTACCAAAGTTTGTGTTACCAAACTTTGTGCGATATTGTTAAAATAAGATAGTTTACAGCTTATGTGATCTCACGTTATTACCTTTTCCCCAGAAACATGAGGGTGGGTATTTGAGCGTACAGCAATCAATTCATTCGGCATAAGCAAACTTGAAAAACCTAAAAGGGAATCCGCGATCTACTGCCTGATCAACCTACTCTCAACGTTGAGAAAATTATGCGAAAGGCTCTTACGTAAAACCCTCGTGGGTTTTTCACCTCAAAAGGCATACTGATCAACGAACACTTCGGGTTCCGCGTGAAACTCTCCTGTATTCAGCAAGTGCACCGCCTAACGAAGCACATCTTATCGCATTCCTACACATTCCTACTCGGTCGACTCTACCCGATGATCTACAGCGATGTAAATTATCCCTTCGTAACAAGGAGGCACTCTATAAAACTTGTATACGTTCCGTCATAATCTATGCAAGTCTAGTGTTCGCTCAAGCGGCCCGCATGCACATAAACTCTGTCTAAGTCATCCGAAATCGTTTTAATAAGATAGCCTTCGAAGCCCCGTGGTATGTGAAGAATTTAGATCTTCACGACGATTTAAATTTTAAACTGATACGTAATTATCTTATGGTAGCGTCAGAACGCTACTTCGAGAAGGCGGCGCGATACGATAATCCGCTTATTGTGACCGCCGCTAATTACATATCCGACCCAAGCCAGGGGCAACGTAAAGCCGTCGTTGCCCAAAACATGACCAAAACTGACACAGCCCCCTGAATTTCTCGCTGGATCTCAGTGGATAGCGATATCGACCCTTTGGTAGATTCTGCGAAGCAGTGCTCTTTCTGGACCTAGTGTTAACAGATTCTCTGAGGTTGAGCCCGTCAGTTCACCTACCTATCCGCGCCTAGTTAGAATAGCCACTTAGGCAACCAGCGAATTGGGAAAAAAAGGTTATTTATATACCCTCCTTTACTGTCGGGTATAAAATTGTATCTGATTACGTAACCGTTGTGGTGGGTGGCGCATTTACGTCGTAGATGTCTATGGGCTCCAGTAACCACTTAACACCAGGTGGGCTGTGAGCTCGTCCACCTTTCAAAGCAATAAAAAAATCATAAGAAATTGTAGCAAAACATTGATAGTTGCGGCTATGCCATGTAATCTCAGTATAAGCCTATGCATAACAAAATTTAATCACATTGCTAAAGTAATTTCCAAAATGTTAGACTTTTAATTCAAATATTTATATTGAACAAGAAGAACACGAAATCCTGTTTTTACTTTATTAGCTCCAAGCGTACGTTATACCTCTAATTGGATCAAACTTGAGCAATATTTTCTTAGCTGATTTTCCCTGGCACAGGCATAATACAGAGGTCAAAGTTGAACTCATAGCGTAATGAGATGCGTAAAAAGTCTTGAATAAGTGAACGGAATTGTTTCGACGGTTTCGGATTCCGCGCCGGGCTAATTTTGTCGAAAGTCTCAGCTGTCGTTTTTCGTTTGTTAATAAATAACAAATTGTTCTGGAAAGTTTGGACACCCGAGGGACAAAAAAAAATTAAGAACTTTTTATGTAACGTGTGTGACGGTTCGCAACCCGATGAGAATGTTTGACATTGCAAATAATATGACAATAATACAATCAAAACTACTTTTAAGGATTATACTCGCGTTTTTTTTATCATGATTACATTATTTCCGACGTTTCAAATGCTTTACAGTTTTCGTGGTGACGGACGATTAGTAAGCCCACTGAGTTTCACGCCGGATCTTCTCAGTGGGTCGCGTTTCCGATCCGGTGGTAGATTCTGCGAAGCACTGCTCTTGCTATGGTCAGTGTTAGCAACACTTCGGTTTGAGCCCCGTGAGCTCACCTAAACACGTTAAGGTGAAGCTAAAATAGCCTCTCAAAGCTATCAGCATACGTAAGAAAAGAAGGGTACTTATGACAGTTAGTCGTCTAATCGTAGGAAACCGAAGAAAATACTATGGTAATAATAGGTCTCATGTCATCTTCCGTTATAAAAGTTTCATTTGCTTGTTATTAAAACAAATTTAGACAGTCTATTTATTATATAAAAACAAAACTATAAGAATATAAAAAAATTATAAAAAAATAGAAGAATAGATTTAAACATTTTTTTAAAGTTATGCTAATTATAAATCAAGCTAGGATCGGTTAAGGCTCTAAAGTGAGAAACCTACTTATGATACACGCCGTGTTAATAATGAGGCTTATATAACATTACTGATTATTATTTAATATTAACATATATGTTAGAGGAAGTCTGAAAATGGCACCTGTGACAGAGAAGCTGAGAAGTGCGCGCTTGGTATGGACATGTGATGAGACGAAATGAAAATGAGGTTGGTAAGAAAATGTTAGCTATGAATGTGGAAGGACCTAGAGGAAGAGGTAGATCTAAGAAGAAATGGATGGATTGCGTGAAAGACGATATGGGTAAGAGGGGAATGAGCGAAGAAATGGTATATGATAGAAGAGTATGGGAGGAGAAAACATGCTGCGCCGATCCCAGGTAACTGGGAGAAGGGCAGAATAATGATAATGATGATGATAAAAAAAATTATTATTTAAACAAAAATAAACAGATAGATTTTATTTCTTTAGTGTGATGGTTTTAAATCTATTCCTTGGTTTGTAATAACGTAAGTAATGCTTGTCTTTAATCTAAACCATCTTATATTATTAAAATACATATAATTAAAACATAATATATCATAGAACATACAGGTTATCTGAAACCTTTGGGTTTACGGAGAGACTTTATTTGTTCCGATTTATTCATAGGGTAGTGATTTGAATAATAATAATTATTATTATTACTACCCACTATCAGAGTAAATTTTACTCCTATAACCACTTCGTTCATCCATTGTTCGGTTTCATAGATTATTTTTGTCACTTACCTCAATAGATTTTCCAATACGGTACATCTCCAATTGTGTGACGTATTCTTTTTCAAACAAAGGTTGTAGAGATTCCTCGTTGCAGGCGGCTTGTCTATAGACCTGACATTGCGAATGACCATGAGCATCGGTGACCACTCACTATCAGAAATACTTTAGCCCTCGAACACAACAAAACTGTAGATAGTGTTAAGAAAATTTAATTTGGTTCGTCCTAGTCAGTTAAAATCTAAATTACTTTGCACTCTTAGAGTGACGCTTAGATTTTCAAGCACGTTTTGAGTAAAGATTAGCTTTGCGAACGAGAACTCATTACTTGCTGCATTTCCGAGAGATCTTCAACACCGGACGTTTGGATTTAAAAGCTTTTCACTCAGGGAAATTGTTTGCCTTGGAAAAATATTTTAGTTTCTCGTATAATTAAATTGAATTTCTCTTCTTTTGTCGACACTAATGATTATATAAAATACACTGTTTATAACAGCAACTGCTCTGATTATACGGAAGGCTCCGTGCTCAATGATTCTGGACGGGACGATTGTACTCATTTGTACCATATTATTACACCCACCTTCTTTACAAATAACACAATATTTGTATTTCATACTGCTTGGCTGTTTATGTTATAGTGAAAACAATTTATCAAATTAGATGATTTGAAGATGTATTCACAAATAATGCCTTTAGTCAGTTTGCTGAAATTTACAACAAAATCTTGAAATA